GACCACCACACCAAATCTCACTGATCACTGATATCACTACCACTGATAGTTGTACAGGGGAATAATTTTAGAATCCAAGAGTAAGATCAAAGAGGAATTCAATCGAACAACAACACAAGAACAAGAAGTGTTAAACATGCGAATAGATATCTGCAGACACGAAACCAACAATACTTGCCAAGAATGTATCAAATCAAATGCAGAAAAAGTACCAGAACAGTTCAGTTACATTCAGCTCTTTTGATTACGACCAACAGCATTATCAGCCTGACCTTTCACCATTTCTTCATTCTTCTCGTTGATAATCTTCGTAACTTCTGCCCCTACTTTGTCCTGTAATAAAGATTTTTGAGAAAATGGCGCATTCTGTCGAGAACAATAAATTACAGCGTGGAGAACGTACTTGCTGAATGAGATGTTGCTTTTTAGGAGGTATGTAAAGGTTATGTCCACGTTTAGGGCCAGCAGGTTTAGTCTTCTTAGTCTTTTGTTTGACACCTTTCGGCAAAGTTGTCTGAAACATGCAGGATTATGAAAGCTCTATTTCCCATGGACAGACATGTCACCGTCGACATGGCAGGGCCTCAATATAGATCTATGGCTAAGTACTAATTTTACAATGACCAACCAAATGCAGCCTCACCATGAAGAAGTCACCAGCAAGCGACCAGCTCTTATCTTAAGCATAAAGGATAAAGCATTTGCCGTTGATCAATCCCTTTTTGGGATGCGGCACGCATTCTACTTCCATTTGTACATTCGCAGTGGCGTTTGAATGCGATGTGGCCTATACAATGACTTGCGGGGGCCAGCCGATGTACAAGTCAGTGTTTTATCCTCCCAGACAAGTCTGGTACCAATTAACCCCGGAGGAATGAGTAAAGTTTGTGGCTCGGACGAAGCACGGCCCAGGATCGATCCCCGACCGCGCACGTGGTAAGCGTTCTACTTACCTCTACACCACTTCCACCCTGCTCTGATCTAATGGTGAGTAAAATTACCGATTGATGGGCAAATTAAGTACAACAGCAGAGCCAGACTGCAGCGAGTAAATTCAACCAAACCTTTGTTTAATCTTATGTTGAACCATAATTATCTGATGAACAACGTATATCCAGCAGCTAGGAAACAGGCAGCAGAAACGAAGGAGTGCAAGCGTACTCCATGACCGAAAGCGATAGAAACAAGGAAGACCGAGTAAACAAGAGTCCAAGAACAACAGAGTAAATTATAATAACTGGACAGTTTCAAGTAATCATTGGTTATCATGACCTGTAGAATTACTCGCGAAAAACCGCCTTCTTTCTCAGAAAAGCAACCAGCTGTTTATTCGAGGCACTCGTTTAAGGATAGGCCACACGAACAAATTACTAGAAGCGCTACTATAACCAGACCGTCCAGAGAATACGCTGAAAACATCTCTTAGCACCCTGCTCTCGGGAAAAATTCAAACCATGAAACATCGGCATTGATCAAAAAATACTCACCGTTCATAAAACCCCGACAGTATTGGCCACACCAGAGCCTTAACATGAACAAGGGCATGAGAAAATTTAAAACACGTATTAAGAAAAAACCAAAAAAAAAACGAACTAATATTGAAAAGATAGAAAGATACTTTGGAAAATACCATATCTCGACAAAGAATTACGCATACAAAGCACCTTTTATTAACTCTGTTTGGTCACAATGATGTGAGATCAACTACACTGGGAATAGAAAATATCACAGCAATAGTGGAGCCTTCTATCACATATAAAACGAAACGAAGCAAATAATATCCCCAAATTAACAACACTCGAAACCACGACGCGACAAAGGCTATTATGCTTCTCACAGTAAGCAAGTTAAAGTGCATGCAATGCATCATAATTCATAATTTCGGAACCTTCTCACTGTGTCCGATTGATACCTCTCTGATTCCCATCTTGAGAACTTTTTGTCTGGTTCCGTAGATGTCACTTGCACCGCAGCGTTTGACGACGATATCATCGGTGTTTCCTTTGGAGTTATCCAATGCATAGACTAAAACAAATAAAGAGTCTGTGTTTACCAATAAATTCCTGATAAACAAATAATTAGAACAAATCGGGGTCTATTCCAGTTAGGGGGGCATCATGATGCAGCCTCTCAGCGAACTAGCGTGAACTCAAACATTTCAGCTTTTCACGCATGTCGAGTGGCTGCCCTCACCTCCCACCCCCTAGGCTGGCTACACTCCCCGCTGGAGTTACCCCGAGCTTCTGGAAAAACTGCATCGTGATGCGCCCCCCCTAACTGGAATAGCCTCAAATAGTGTTCTGTTGCATCGCTAGAACTCACAAGGCGACAGTAACGTTTTACAATAGAGCCCCTTTCTGACAGCCAGAATCTCACCAAGAGCAGTGACGATCTTTTCCTAGCGCTCCGATGCTCATCTCTGTTGTATAAAGAATCCTAGAAGCGATAGGGAAAAACCAAAATAATGTCCGATTTTCCCATTTCACGCTAGTGATGCTATCATCACTTACAGAACCAACCCGTGTATTTAAACTGCATACCATGTAAAATTTCCCACTGAATGCCACTTAGAGCGTTCTTATTCTTTGAACCTCGTAGGCTGAGAGAAGCCAACATCCACATGCTGAACAGCGTCGTTCCCCTCATCAGACAGCGTGCATAGGCCGCTTAAAACATACCCTGAAACTAGTACCTTCAGTTCAATTCTCGTACTGCCATAATAAACCATTCACCATATGGTTTTGCGAATGCTATAAATAAGGGTCCCACGGAGGGGTGATCATATCTTTCGCCGCTTCGCTCGATTCCGAGCTTCTCTCCCGAGCAAAAACTGAGTAGAAAGATCACCCATTTCGTTTTTGAAAAAAAAAACGAAGATGAATTCGAATGTGACAACAACCTGCAGTCGCAGATACTCCTCATGTTTTATCGGATCAGCTTCATCGAGTTTATCAGGGTGAAGATATTTAACGCGGGCTCGGTACTCGGCAGTGATCTGTTCTAACTAAAAATAACCAGACTGAAAATTGGAAAAACAACCAAAAACCAATACATATAATACAAGTTGGGCTTACCGAACTGTTTCTGTCACAACCTAGTGTCTGATAGAACTCTGGTACCTTCCTGCTTTGCCCACTGAGAATTTCATCCATGAACTGACCTTGAAGGCGGTTTACTCTATCACAATTTGTAGCGAGAGAAAGAAGTGGAGTTTTAGCCATAAAAATATAGTCTAAGGTATACCTGCACCTTTGCTTAAAAAGTATGACTATAAAATATTTTATTCTGATGCATATGAAATCAATTTCCTATGTCAAACAAATCTTGAAAGTAACAAGTTCAAAATCAACAAAAGGATCAACAAAAATAGGCAACAATGTAAAATTCCCTATCACACTTTTTCAATCACTTTCTGCTGACTGTCTCTCTTTTTAGGGAACGTCAAGCCTTTCTTATCCTTATTTTTCCCGTTACTCTGCATGAGATTCTGCCGGTTTTCCTTGAGCGCCGCTTTCCGTAGATGTTTGTAGTTCTGAAATTATATAACGTGTTACAAGGGAATAATTAATGCAAACTAATCAGCAATAGTAAATGGAAACCCTAGAGAGGTATGATCAGAATAAGGTAAATTTTTAATTTAAAATCAAGTAAGGTTTAGATAGGAGTCATATTTTGCGATTACGCTGGCAATTCACAAGCTGTTAGGGAAGTGCGCCAGTGATCGGAACGATCCTTGGTGTACGATGTTCGTAGTGAGCAAGTTGATAGTGATCGAGGAGCCAGATGGCTGCCTTTGAGGAGCCCATCAGTGCCCGATGTCCCAAAGGAAAGCAGTGAGTGATCTTGAGAGGCCAGTTAATGCTTAACGTCTAAAGAAAGCTGAAGATTGTTTCGCAAGAATGCTGAGTTGTGAACAAAACTCCCACCTCAGACGAGACTCGAATAAGTATCCCTTGCTTACCGAGCAGGCACTACATTTTACGATATCGGGGCACCATTTCATCCCAACTCAGCTCTTCTGGTACACAACCCAACATTCTTGTGAAACAATCGCAAGGCAAACTGCGGCCAAAAACAGACAGAAGGCACAAAAACAAACAAAAAAAATGCATAGCTAAAGCTTTCGCCCACGCGGTCATTGCCGATATTGGCCAACCTCTCAACACGTCATACATGGGAGTGCTGACAGCTATGATAGAACAAGCTGGTTATGATGAAATGATGCCCCGGTAGCTTACTCAGGCATTGGAAGAATTGGGTGAAAGCGTTCGATTTTGGAGAGTGGGGGCGAAAATATCGATAGAGTAGGATGCAGTAGAAGTGAGAGACGTAGTATAATCAATCAAAAGGCCAAAAAGTATTTCTAATGACAACACTTCATGAAACACGAAGAGCGTTCGCGCCGAGCACTACATTTCCAGCGGGAATTCAAACGCGTAGCAACCCTTCCGCAAATTTTTTGGTCATTTCGTTTTTATCGTGAACAAAGTGTCTCAAGCCAATGATTTATAGGCGAAATGGAATGACTTTTCTGGGAAGGATTACTTTCATGGCATCGGTACGACGAGTTGGTTGACCGTAAGATATAAAATTCGATATGCAATGACAAAAAAAAAAACAAAAAAAAACGGCTAAAACTAGCATAACGGCACCATTTAATATAAGTTTGATTTCGGCGTCTGATCGAGATAACGTTGCCGTCATTCAAGTGAGCGCCTTGCTCTACTCCTGGCCAGACGCTGAAGTGTGATGGCGATGGACCACTTGTGAGGAACCAAATGTAAGGCGGCCCGAGAGCACTCACAGGGACATGCACAGCCTTCACGTCATTACGCACGCGTCATATTCCAAAAACAAAGCCTACAGTATCGTTTCTCTTTTCAACCCCAATGATTTTTATCACCTGCTTTGGCTTTGATTCATGCGATTTTCTAGAGAATCTGCCATTGATAAATCAAACTACCTATCCTTCGTCGTTTTTGATCAGAATCCCAGTACCTGATGTCAACGACAAATTCAAATCAAGTGGCAAAGAAAAAAAACTTGAGCTTCATCAGAATAAGTCCTCACCTCTTACCCCACCCCTTTCAAAAATAACAAACTACCTTTGCGAAGACGTCTCGGTGGTTGGCCCATAGCGGAACAATCCGCTCCAGCGGCTGTGTTCGCTTGAAATTGCTGATCAAACTTTGTAAGTGTTCTTCATTGCCAGTCACGAAAAATGCAGTGTTAGCAGGCCTTCCCTAGAAAAAACCGATTTCACCAACATCAAAAGTGAAAAAAATTATCGAAACTAACGCAGCGAACGCTCACCAAACTGGAAGACTTCGAGTTAACAGGAACTACAACCTTTGTATCAACACCGTCGTCGTCCTGAACGCTTTCCAAGATCATCTTCATCTTCTGCAAATAGCGTGGTGATTGTGGTTAGTAACCTTTCGAAAGTGTAGAACAATGATTCGTAGACAGACAAGGTTCCGACATACCTTGTTCGGTAAAATGTCAACTTTTTGACCATGCGTATGACCCAGCTCTTCGGATGTAGTTTTCCTACCCACCATCGCCAGAAACGAGAAGCCACCATTTGCGTTGGAAGATTCTGCAGCTGAAGTCTCACCGGCTAAGCGCACTTTCAGCTGAAAAAGAAGCATGAAGTTGGATTGCGGAGAAAGTTTTTACGAAGGGTTAAGCACAATCAGAAGGGATGCTAAAATTAACGGAGTCTTCACCCTTCAAAAAAAGTGACTGAGCTAATTGAGCCCAAACTATAGGATCCACAGATTCCGAAAGGAAAAGGTACAACATGGCTCTCAAGAATGAATTGTAAAATACTTAGGTAATGACGTCCTACCTCTTCAGCAAAATCAGGCTGCATCTCATAATGAATGCCATTTTTTATCGGGCCTCCTTCACTTTCATTCAGTACGACGTGTTCATCGTTGCTGTCTTCATCGTTCGCTCCATTTCTCAGCTCCTGCATGCAATTACTGAATCAAAAACTTTTCTAGTGCCTTCACCTCATTCACAATAGGTACCTCTTCTTTCTTCAACCAGCGAACATGCTCCTCGTTGAAGGGATCGAACCTGGAAGCAAATCCAGAGTCAGGTCTCGATTTTAAAGGATACAAACAGCTAAGACTTATCAAAAAAAATAAACAATCAAAACAAACGCATAGAATTATACCTCGTGAAAGGGCGGACTTTCGCATGACCCTTGGCATCCTTTTCAGAGCCCTTGAGGGTTTTGCTTTTAGGTTTTAATCAGTGTGCCCAAAAACTCGATAAGACTTCTAATTGCTTGGATCTCTTTCTTGGACGACTTCCTGAATGAGCGCCAAAGTTGACATAGGTAAGAAAAGGAAAGAAATTCTCGCAGCAAGCGAGACCATTGAAATAAAGGAAATTTCACTTGATACACTCACATCCTCGTCCTCATCTTCGCTTCCGCTAGAAACAAACTTTTCGTCAAGTTTGAAACGTGAGTCAGAGTTGAAACGCGCCTCCAACTTCATCAGTTTCTCCCCTACAAATTAATCTATTGAAGAAGTGATCACATCAAGGCCATGGTAGACGATTTGATAACCCAATTAATTTATTTATTTCTGTTGGTGTAAAACCTCTAATTTGGAACTATCCTTTGGGTCCTCTGCTAATTAGCTAATTTCTTGGTCTGTAATGATTTCTGAGGGCGGAAGTGGTGTAGTGGCAAGTGGCACGCTTACCACGCGAGCGGTCCGGGGATCAAATCCTGGGTCGTGAGTCGCCCGGGCCAACCAAGCCTTCCATCCCTCCGGGGTCGGTTAATTGGTACCAGACTTGTCTGGGAGGATAAAAACACTGACTTGTACATCGGCTGGCCCCCGCAAGTCATTGTATAGGCCACATCGCATTCAAACGCCACTACGAATGTACAAATGGAAGTAGAATGCGTGCCGCATCCCAAAAAGGGATTGATCAACGGCAAATGCTTTATCCTTTTTATCCTTTAATGATTTCAAGGGCTTGTCGATAAAAACTATAGTTCATTACTTTAAAAAACCAAGCACCAAAGGAAAGTCTTTGCAGCTATAGAAGGCTTAGTAGAGGTGTACAGGCTATTAGATATGATTCTGAGGTTGTGGTGGCGGCAACATTTACTTACACCAACAACGTCCGATAGTTGTTAGACACGTAGATACACAGATAAAATTAATCGATGTAAACGATAAAGTAAAGACAAAATACTACCTTTTTTCCCCTCGTGACGATTAGTGATCGTTATCGTATCTTGTTCGTCCTCTTCTGATGAGCTGTCCTCAAAAAGCTTCACGTGAGCAGTAGACGATTTTTGGGAAGCCCCTTGAGAGCTAGACGGAGGATTATCCTGGAAAACTGAGTGCATTCCTTCGCCAACTTCTATGAATGCGAAAGCAGCAACGGAAATGAAAAGGATCCAGAGATAAATGAAGTATGAAATGATCCTGGTAGCTATCGCTCGGACTGCGACCATTCATGCAGCAACGTCTTACAGTTTCATAATTTCCTTCAATTTTAGGTTTTCTATCTTATTCGTTGTCTATGATCACGTCAAAAATGCACCACTTCTAGGTCTATTCTCTCAAAATGTCGTAACGGCTATCGCGCCAAAAATTTGTCCACCTTTTCGGAAACTGGCAACAATATAAGACCTTAGCTTCGTCAAACGAATGTTATTATCAAGCAATTCTTCCGTAGCTAATTCAACTACAGCTAAAAGCGTTCACGAATGACAACACACTACCCTCCCCTTCTAAACACCATGGTAACCAACTCCAAAACGAGAGATTCACAACGATGAGTCCCACAGCACAGACACCAGGTGATTCAAAACTTAAATTATTACCAAACGTACTTTATGGACTGAAAACGCAATAGCTTTTCGACATAAATAATCTTACCTCATCATCGCTGTCATTGGAAACACCACTCGCTTACTCTTCTGGTCGACTTCCCTCAACGCCCGAGACAGTATAGCATTTCTTTGTTTTTCCAGCTCCTTCTTCGCTCGTATGCTGGCTATTCGCTGCGCTTCAGATTTCGCCCTTTCCTCTCTTTCTGCTCCGTCGCCCAATCATGCTTCAAAACAGCAACGCCTAAGTGATAAACAAAAAATTTGTTTTCGAAAATTACAAAGTAGAAGATACTGAGAAATCAACATCAAGGAGAACATTACACAGGACTAGCGCAAACTTCATCGGGCGAACAGAAATGACAAAAACATCGAAAATCCAAGGAACATATTTTAAATTTTGCAGCAGCAGTCTGATATGAGACGAAACCCACTTCGTGAGAAGTAAGAAAAGTGTGAACGTATGTGGAAAATAAGCAACATCGTCTAAAATTTACAGATGGAAAACAATGTGCAGAAATTGAGTTCTCAAACCAGGGAGAGTTAATTTATGAATGAGATACAGAAAGGGTGCATTACTCTCTAAAAATAGTCAGGATCGAATGAGATGAAAATAGAAAGTGGAGAAATGAGACGGAATGATTGCGCAATTAGAGGTAATGGTTGCTGAGAAATCGATTTCCTACCCAATGACGCCACATGAACTGGAGCTATTCAGTAACTTAACAAAAACGAGACCTTGCTCACCCGGAATCCCCTTTCATCGGCAAATGTCCGAACAAAAAGAGCAAATCCGTCATGGGAACGCCACTTAAGCCTTTCCCCAAATGAATAATTAATGAACTTATGCGTCAGCGGAAGCCATTAACAGCTGAATATCATCGAAACTGGACTCCACCACAGCTACAAGACTTTCCAATCCATCTTGGCATCTATCCAAATACTTTTTAAGATTGAGCGCGTCTGCTTCATCGAGAAAGTTTGATTCTTTCGACAGCGCTGATCGTATCGTTCCATCCTCTACACGGAGAGTTTCAGAAATTTCAGCGATTCGACTCTGTAAATACCAAATCTACGTTGAAATATATGAAAACTCTCGAATTCAGATAACCAACAAACATGAAAATACATATGCTGGAAAATAACCCACCTTAACCTGTTGAGGAGCATTCAAGCGCGCATTAATGGACTCCAGTGCTGACTGCATACTTTCCTCAGTGGCGTCAATTCCATGCGTGAAGCGTTGCGATATGAGTTGCATGGATAGGACCCTAGAGAAAAATCAGTTTCGAAAAGAAGTTCTAAAGAAACACTCATTTTAGGACGCCTTTCTACCTCAGTAATCGATGCGAAAGCTGCTTCTGAATAACTTTCTGGCGCGCTAGCTGCACAGCAACAGCTGATACATTAGCTTCAATACGAGAAATTCGTGATTTCATCGCATCCACTGCATGACTTTGTGCTCGAACCTATAAGAAATCAATTACGGGATAAGTAGCTTGACCTGCTGAACATGCCAAAATAAAAATTACATTATCTATGTGCACTTTCTGCCTGGCTCTCAACTGCTCGAAGCCACGAATCGGGTATGGAACTAGACGTTCAGGGTCGGGATTTTCACGCACAGCTTGTCCCCAGACCGAAGCGTCAAAACCTGAATAATTTAATTTTTGGACTGGAACTGAAGAGCCATAATGAGTCAGAAATAGCTCGCTAAAAGTACTACGTTGCCTCTGAAATAGTCTATAAGAAGGAATACTCTTCGATCCTCTAAAAATTGCATCACTCATGCGCAGCTATCACATCAAGACCCACTACTTCGCAAAATGCTCGAGTCGGCAATTTCGCAAACCATTCGAACTTCATATCTAACTCAACCCTGGTCGATGAAAAATCCATGTTTTGAGTGAAAAGTCAAGTAAGTATAAACTCGTGCCGTTCACCGATACCAGTTAAGAGAAAAGATTGCAACAATGATAGTTGTCAGTAATCAAATGTCACATGTAGTAACCAAGAGAATACCCTGTTCAAAAAATACTTGCACCAACCCAATAACTTGATACTAAGCACTTGTAGAGCAAGAAAGAAACCTGAACGCAAATAAAAA